TTTTTTTTTTTTTTGATGTTTGACAACAGTCTTTGAAGATTTTCTACTTCAGAGTAGCTACTGATGGGCTGGTTGTACTACAGAGAGAACAAGCGGGGTTCCTCAGAGTGCGACCAACTGCTCCTGCCGAAGGCAAACGCTGGTGGGGAGGATGTCACTCCATGAGGCCACAGCACTAGCTCATAAAAATCCAGAGCAGACCATGCCTAGTCGCGCTCGCCTTTTCATCCAAACATGGAGACACAACAAGCGCGGCGGGGCCGGCGATGCCGAGCGCCCGCGCCCCGCTAAACCTTGCCTTGTGCCTTCTGTCCCCGCTCCTTGTAGAGGACCCACCGGCTTCCCAAGGAGATGACCCCGGTGGAGCCAGCCGCCTTCGCCGCCGAGCTCATTTCCCGGCTGGAGAAGCTGAAGCAGGAGCAGGAAACCATGGACTGCCTGGAGGAGAGGCTGCAGCAGATCAAGGAGGTAGGGAGAGGATCAGCGCTCCGCGGGGTGGAGGGAAGGGGCTGCGTTCCAGGGCGGTGGGGGGACATCCCTGAATGTGCCCTGCTGGTTCTCTGTCCCCTCCTGCTCACTGCCCGCTGTCCCTTGTCCGGCAGGATGAGGAGAAGGACGGCGCCGAGCTGACCGCCGGCCCGCAGAGCAGCCGGGASATGGCCCAGCACCCGCAGCACCCGCTGTCACTGCTGCCCTCGGGCAGCTACGAGGAGGACCCGCAGGCCATCCTGGACGAGCACCTGTCCCGTGTGCTMAAAACGCCCGGCTGCCAATCGCCCGGCGTGGGCCGGCACAGCCCCCGCGCCCGCTCGCCCGACCGGCCGCCCCTGGCCAAACTGCCGGCCGGCACGGCCTCGCTGGCCGCCTGCGCCCTGCTGGGCAAGGGCTTGGTCACCAAGCAGACCACCAAGCAYGTGCACCACCACTACATCCACCACCACGCCGTGCCCAAGAGCAAGGAGCAGATYGAGGCCGAGGCGGCGCAGCGCGTGCAGTGCTGCTGCCCGGCGGGCGGCGACTACTACTGCTACCCCAAGTGCAAGGGGCACCCCAAAAACACTGACCCGCCTCTCCCTGCGCTGGATCCCTTCGGGTAAGTCGCCAGCATCACCAGTGTGCCCGCCCTGAGCTGTCCCCTATTGTCCCACCACGGTGGGATGATGGGGYGGGGGCTGACCGTGGGCTCGTGTCCCTTTGTGCCACCAGCAGGACGGGGACGCTGCTGAAGAGGCCGGGCCGAGGAGTGGACAGCACAGCCCCGGTGGCCGGGGACGGGGGGCTGCCCGGTCCCGGTGGGGCRCAGCTGCCGGGGGGCGAAGCGGACCGGGCACAGAACGTCTGGCAGTGGATGCTGGAGAGCGAGAGACAAAATAAGCACAARCCCCATAGGTAAATACGCAGCTGTCTGCGGCGGTATCGCTGCCGGTAAATATTTATATATTACATGGGCTGTCTATTTTTACAATCGCTAAAAACAAATGAGACTCTTTGCTCCTCCGGTTTAATACAAAAGCTGTTCCGCAGAACCAGAAAAACCACAAAAATGTCATGTTTTTGGCAATAAACCTCCTTTCATGTTATGACAGACTTTTGAGAGGGAGCGAGCAGAATAGGAGCTGCTGTTAAAGTCATATTTTCCAGCTTTTCTAACCCGGCTCCTTCCCTTCCCCAAAGCGCACAAAGCACAAAGAAGGCCTACGGCTCCGAGTGTGCCAAGGGGGCCCCYGGGCGCCACCACCCCTGGGGGACAGGCAGCCACCCCCGCGGGGCACAGCCCGCCCATCCCTTCGTGCAGGACCCTGCCATGCCCCCGCTGACGCCGCCCAACACGCTGGCCCAGCTGGAGGAAGCGTGTCGCCGCCTGGCCGAGGTGTCCAAACCCCCAAAACCACGGTAAGGACCACGGGAGGGACGTTACCTGGGGAGCAGCGGGGCTGGGGGAGGTGTCCTTGGTGAGGGGATATGGATGTGTCCATCCTGCCCGGACAGAGGGTCACTCATGGGCACAGATGGGGCTGAGAGAGGTTTTTCAGTGGGGAGAGATGGATGTGTCCATCCCACCTGGACAGAGGATCAGCCATGGGCACAGATGGGGCTGGGAGAGGTGTCCTTGGTGGGGGGATGTGGATGTGTCCATCCCATCCCAGCATAGGGTCAGCCATGGGGAGGGTCAGCCATGGGGATGGACAGGGCTGGGGGAGGTGTCCCAGTGCAGGGATGTGGATGTGTCCATCCTGCCTGGACAGAGTGTCACTCATGGGCACAGATGGGGCTGGGAGAGGTTTCCCTGGTGGGGGGACATGGATGTGTCCATCCCATCTGGACAGAGGGTCAGTCATGGGCACGTTTGGGGCTGGGGGAGGTTTCCCAGAGGGGGGATGTGGATGTGTCCATCCTGCCCGGACAGAGGGTCAGTCATGGGGGTGGGCAGGGCTGGGGGAGGTGTCCCAGTGCAGGGATGTGGATGTGCCTGTCCATCCTTTCTGGATGAGGCTGGGGGAGGTTTCCCTGGTGGGGGAACGTGGATGTGTCCATCCCACCCGGACAGAGGGTCAGCCATGGGCACAGACAGGGCTTGGGGAGGTTTCCCTGGTGGAGGGACGTGGATGTTTCCATCCCACCCGGACAGAGGATCAGCCATGGGGATGTGTGATGGCACAGCCTAGAGGATGTGGGATCCTTCTTCCCACCCTGCCCCAAACAGTTGGAATCCCAGCCTGTTGCTTCCACTCTTCTGGTGGCTGTAATTTGCCCGTTTTCCCTCTGGGACTGGCTCCAGCTCCACACCAAGTGGGGAATTGGACTGGTTATCATTCATTTGGGTACGGGAGGATAAATTAGCCCAGAGCATTTTTAATTCTCCCTTTGATTGTTTACAACACGTGAGGCTTCATACAAAGAGCGAACTTAACAACCCACAGGAGACTTCAATTAAGAACACTGTATTTTGACCATTCTTTTTTCTTAAAATTGTTTCTTTTCTCTTTTTTTTTTTGTTTCCCCACCCCTTTTTCCCTGCTTGCTTTCCTCTTCCCTGCTTCAGATGTTCAACCTCAAATCAGCAGAGGGACCGAAACCACTCCGCTGCCATCCAGGGGGGAAGCACCCCTTTCTGCAATGCAAGTCTGATGACAGAAGAGTGAGTATTGCACGTGCAGAAAAGGATTGGGAAATAAATATATATATATGTGTGTACATATATCTCTCATAATTATATTTTCATTAAATGGATTGCGCTTTGAAAAGAGAGGAAATTCTTACATCTGAAATTTCGTCTTTCAAACATTCTTCTTAGAGAAAGAACAAAACATTTTCAAATCTTGTCTCTGGCTCTTTTTAACTTGCATTCCTGTAAAGTGGACAAAGATTGGATTAGTCTAATTACAGGATGGTTCTTTTAACAAGAAATCTGCTACAGAGAGGTCTAAAATGGCCTAAATAATTAAAGTTTTCTTTCTTACCCTCTTCATCTTAAGCAATGAGTAATGTTTGAAGTCCAGACTGAGCCACCTGACTAGAGCCTTTCATTTTTAATTGGTTGACCTTAAGTCCACCAGCTGTCTTTGCTAGCAGCTTTTTTTTTTTCCTGAAACCACTCTACAAAGACTTAGAACAAATTAGGAAGACTAAATTACTGCGGACTAACACTTTGTGACCTTTTGACATGCCAAGTGTACATTGCCTCAGAAGCAGTTGTAGATTTGGCTGCATGCTATTCACTGGAGTGTTGCCATTTTGCTGGGTAATATTGTTTTAATTATTCTTTGAGAAGCGTTGCTCGGGTGCAAATGGCAGGGTCCAGTTAATTTTATCCTCTCTGGGAACAAAAATAAGATTACCTGAGGTGAGGCATCTGGCAGGGGGTTTGGTTTGATGTCCTGGTGGTTGCAGGTGGGTTTGGGCACGAGGAGAAGGTTTGGGAGGTTTAAAATGTTGGGTGTGCAGTGCTGGGGCTTGTTGGGGAGGGTGGGATACACAAAAACAGCCTCCATCCCTCAGCTCCCCCATCTGGGAGATGGTCTGAGGGCTCTGCTGTGCCTTGATCCCATGGGGGAATGGGTTCAAGCTGAAGGAGGGTGGATTTAGGTTGGATTTKGGGGGGATATTGTTCCCTGGGAGGGTGGGGAAGCACTGATACCTGCCCCTGGATCCCTGGAAGTGTCCAAGGCCAGGCTGGACATTGGGTTTGGAGCACCCTGGGATAGTGGAAGATGTCCCTACCATGGAATGAGATGATCTTTAAGGTCCTTTCCATCCCAAACCATTCCATGATTCCCACTGTGCCAACACATCCCAAAAAATTCCCATCCAGCCCAGGAATATCTTGATTTTCAGGTCCYTCCTGGGGTATTTCTGACAGCATTCCGTGTTCAGAGTGTGGTGAAGCAGCCCGTTCTCAGATGGAAAAATAGCATTTTTTGTGTGTTGTTTTCTGTCTTGCAGTCACAAAGAGCCAAAGAAACTTCCAGTTGTTCACACCTCCCAGTCGGGTGAGCTGGTTGTCACCTATTTTTTTTGYGGAGAAGAAATTCCCTACAGGAGGATGCTAAAGGCCCAGAGCCTGACACTTGGGCACTTTAAAGAGCAGCTGAGCAAAAAGGGAAATTACAGGTAAGAATTTCAGGGTGATTTGTTTGTTCTTTRGTGTCACAAGAAAGCAGGATTAGCAGGTGTTTTGCGGGGCTTTTTCAGAAGCTGTAGAAATCTCAGACTCTTCCCACTCAAACCTGCAGCAGGAGCTGGGGGAAGGTGCCTTGGCTGCATTTGGCATTGTTTTTTGCTGTTTAATTGTCTAATTTTTGAATTTTTTTGCTGTCTAATTGTCTAATTTTTGGTTGCTGTTTAATTGACTATTTTGGGATTATTTTTTGCAATGGGGTGGCTGTAAATGGGGTCGGTGACGGGCTGGGATGGTGCTGCTGAGGCACACAGAGATGGAGCTCGCTGACTTTTCATTAGGGGAGAAAAAACCTCTGCCCTGCAGGGAAAGCTCCACCAGCAATCCCCAGTTCCTCCTCAGAAACACCAGCAAACCCTGCTGGGCTGGTTTCCAGCTCCCAGTTTAACCAGTTTCCTTTAATTCCCATGGCAGTACCTCACATTGGCTCTGTTTTGCTGCCCTTTCCACAGGAGAGGGACATTCCAGGTGTTTTTATGGAATTTTCTCTAAATCTGGCAGTGCTTTGGAGAGCTGAGTGTCTTGCCCTATCACTGCCAGTCTCTGATTTAACCTCCAAAGGGTCATTTGGGTTTAGGGTGAGGAATTCCCAGCGTGCTGCCCCATGGGTTCTCTGGAGCTTTGGGAATTCAGTCACCCTGGGCATTCTCAGGCTGGAGGGTGCCAGGCTGGGCTCTTTCCATGCCTGCTGCACACTGGGGCTGCAATATTGACAATTCCTGCCCAAAAGCACCTTGCAGCCCACCCAGCTGCCATTGGACAGCACCAACCTGTGAGTTCACCCAAGSTGGACACCCTGCACGACACGTCCCCTGCTTTCAGGCACCCTCGTGCCATTTTCCATCCCCTAAACCTCTCCCACTGTGCTCCCCTCATTTGCAGACCACTTCCTTTGGCCTCACCATTGCTCTGCCACTGCCCAATGGCTTCATAGTCCCATTCCCTCCCCAAAAAATCAACTTTTTTAATATTTGTTTTCTGTGACATTTCTTGTGTGCGATGCCCGAGTGCGGGATCAGGCTACTAACACCTCTGTGGCCCAAAAGCCCCTCCAGGTGCAATTATTTGTGCCTTGTCAGACCATAATTACTTTAGAAAATATTTTTAAGTGACTGACAAGGATGAAACAACCCTCTGCTTAGATCTCACCCCTTTACACCTGGGTAAAGACAATACAGAAATTTATAAAAGGAACTTGGGTACGTGCCCAGTATTTTATCTTGCACAGACACAAGGTGAAACTAATTACACAAATGTGTGCACCTCCAGGGAATCATTTTGATCTAAGCTTTGACTTTTGGCTGGACTTTGAGCGAAACTGCGGGTGACCTTCAGGGGAGAGGTCCACGGTGCCCAGAGTAGCGTGTGTGTTACGGGGAGGCACTAACTAGGCTGCTTTGGTCACATCTGGCATTGATTTCTTTTTAAGGCACATTTAATAAGCATGTCTTTGAAGCCCTCGCCTTTCATTTAATGCACAAAGACGCGCAGAAACGCTCCTCTCTCCAAATTCTTTATTGATTGGATCAGTTTGCGAGGCGGGTACCTCGGGCTCCCGCGATGCCACAGCCCCGCCGGGGAAGCGCTGCCTTGGCTTTCCATCCTCCTTCTCCAAAAAAAAAAAAAAAATAAAAAAAAAAATTAACAAAAAAAAAAGAAGGAATTAAGCAGTGATTTAATACCGATGGCGTTAACGAAAAACAAACATAGAGGCACAGAGAGGAGTGGGTGGTGTCGGGTAATCGGGGGATGGCAGCGGTTCAAGACGGAGCTGCACGGCCTCGATTGGTGCCAGATGTCCCAAAAAATAAAATTTAAAAAAAAAAGGAGCAAAGCTTGCCACATAAAATATGTCTCAATGGAAAGCCCATTGCTGGGTGAATAAGAGCAGAGTGATCTGTTTGAAGATGTTGTGGGGGTGGATTTTTAAAAATTTTTTTCTTGTTGCTTTGCCTCCTCCTTTTCTTATTTTTCCCCGTTTTTCTGCGAAATAAGGTTGTAATTATGTGAAAGGTCATAGCGTGTTTTCTCAAATAAAAATTTTTGTAAACACGGCCAGGGCTTGGGCCTGGGGAGGAAGTTCTTGGGAAGAGCGGCTGTTACCGGGACAGGGGAGAGGGAAAGGAGAGTTTTTTGTAATTCATTCAAACTTTCCTTGGGTTTTTTTGGATTCCTTTCAAGGCTGCTGTCCTGGGGAATTGTGGCCTTGACCTGCAGCGTGGAAGTTGGTGGGATTTGGGCCATTGGCTTCCATGAGTGCAGGCTCTGAAGGACTTCAATAATGTTTTTAATAATAGTGTTTTTTCCTTRCTGAGCCATTAAAGATGGAATATGTATCGATTCTGCTTGGAATGACTTCACAAAAAACACATCCTGACCATACCTGGACTAATTGGACGTGGTTTCATCACTTTGACCAAAATGAGGGATCTTTTATYCCCCTACCAAAGTAATTTTARYGCWCCCTGAAAATAAAGGAGACTTGCARGGTGATGTGACTTAYTTTAACAATGCATCATAGAACRGTCACTAAATAAAAATGTCAGATTCCAAGGCCATGCTGTGGCCCTTCCAGTTTCAGCAGTAAAAGTGAGCTTCATTTGATCTCCTTCCCCATCCTAAGAAAATCATGATTACAAACCCCCTTTTCCCTTACAAGCATCTGCCAACCCAACTTATCTGGAAACTACAGGGGAAGGGTTAATTTTTTATTTTTTTTTTTCAGATTTTTTTTTTTAATAGATCCATTTTTCTTTGCAATCCATCTGGTCAGGGATTATTTTCCATCGCTGGCAATCAGATGGCAAAGGACTTTTCCGAGGCAGAGCCATCATCTCCGAGGAGGTGTTGGGCGGCAGACGGACAGACTCCCTAAATGCTACCCCTCTGAATGGAAGCCCTTCATTTGTGCATATGCAATTAAGCAGCCTTAGAAGGAAGAAAGCTCCAAACGGGATAAAAGGAACCTTTAATCAAGAAGCTGAACGGTCTAATTCAGGATAATAGAGGGGTCCTTACTGTTGGACACAGGAGGGGTGGGGGTGCTTTTTTGTCTCGGCCAGCGTTGGCTTCATGATCTAACGACCCGGAGCAAAAGAGCAGGAATGCAGGACACTGCTACTTGACCTCTCGGTGTCACAGCCCAGGGGCTGCAGCGGGGCTCTGCACTGCTCCCCAGCCCCAGGAAGCAAAGGCAGGAGTTCCTGTCCCTTAGCATTGGTTGTTTTTTTCCAGCGGGAACACCGCAGAGTTTCAGCTCCTGCGTTGCAGGAAGCTGGGATGGTTTTTTGCTTTTCATCCGTCCTTTTAATAACAGTTGCTAATTTTAATGTTGGGYTTCAGCTTTGAGACAAGAAAACACATGAAAGAAAGAAGGTGGGGAGAGAGGGGAGCCTTAAGAATGCTCGGCTTTGAAATGCTRTTTATTTATTTTCAAATGAGATATTTGACCAGAAATCGCCGTGCTTTCTAATTTTCTTGATGGCTGGGGATGCCCACTGCCAGGGTGTGTRATCTCCTCTCTGGAGGAGCTGCTGGCACCCCTGAGGAGCATTCTCAGCCCTGCTCCTTCCATCCCATTGCATCCCTGCGGCCATGGGGACTCTTTCAAGTCTCCAGACCCGAGCACCCCCGAGGTGTTCCTGGAGGAACATCCTTAGGAGGGAAAAACTGGAAATGTTGTCGTTAAAAAAACCGGCAGAGCATCCTTTGCTCTTTTCTTTTCCCTTTTAATTTTCTTTTTATTTCCTAAACCGTGTTTTAATTCTCTTCACCCACAGATACTACTTCAAAAAAGCCAGTGACGAGTTTGACTGCGGGGCAGTGTTTGAGGAGATTTGGGAAGATGAAACCATCCTGCCCATGTACGAAGGGAGGATCCTCGGGAAGGTGGAAAGGATCGATTGACGGCACCTGCATTTCCTGGGAAAAGCTAAGCCAGAGAAGTCTTTGGACACACAACAGTAGTGATGACGAGGAAAGGAAAGGAAGACAAAAAAAAAAAAAATCTCTGAAGGAAAAGTTTTGAACCAATGAAGAAAAAAAAAAAAAGTGAAGTCGACGAAGACTTTGCAGAATTAGCCTTAGAGGAGAAAAATGGCATTTATTATTCATGAGTTGGGTACTGAGATGATAAAAACCCTGGACTATTTATTAGAAACATGACCACTGTTGGCTATTGGAGATGCAGACCGTGTTTGAGAGACTTCCATACATAATATATGATTTCCTGGGGATCTGAAATCTATGGACTAAGAGAAACTGTGTATAGCTTACCTTAACAGTAATCCTTATTGATATTTATTGAACAGTCTGTTTTCCCTTAAGTCCAGTTTTTGGATATGCTGCTTTAACAATGGAGAAGAGAGGGGCTGGGAACTGGGGTGAGGGGAGGAAGGATTATTTTATTTTTTTACGTTTTTCCCACTCTCTAAAGTTCAGGAGTTTGGCGATGAGCGCATTCGTGATGACTTTTTTGTTTTTTTTTGAAAAGGGGGAGGAGGGAAGGAGTGAGGTCGTGCCCAATATTTCTCCAAGTGAAGATAAAACTTTCCTATAAAAAATAATATTAATAATAATAATAATAGTAATAATAAAAGCCGAAATAAAAATACTGTCCTACCATTCATCTAGAGACCGGTGCATTTTAATCTATGCTGCTCTAATTTGAAATAAAGGTCTTAAGCATTAATAATTTAGATGCAATATAACACCACTACCAACCACAAGTGGTTATTTTGTCCATGGATTTCGGCGGGGTGAAGTTTTTTGCTTTTTGCTGCTCTCAGCTCTATCCAAGGCAGAGCAAAACCCCGAGCTTGGAAAAACTGTAGGAGAGGCCATCCCATTCCTGTGTCTGTGTTTAGCACACCAAAAGGTTAAAAAATGGTGGTTTTTTAGCACACCAAAAGGTTATAAAATGGTGTTTTTAAAAACCAGAGTGAAGGTTTTTAGCTCTTGGTTGTTAGCACTACTTGTGTCCCAAGGCCGTGTTCTCAGCTCGGTGTGGAGC